CGACTCTCTTTGCCGCGACGCTCCGCCGCACGTTTGGCCTACTGGCTAGCAACCTTGCCTAGCAATCTCACCACCCGGGTTCGATTCCCAACAAATCAAATTTTCTTTTGATTTTTTCGCTTTGCAAGGTGTCACAAAAATTTGCTATTTGGCTCACATAAAATGTATAAAAACCCATAAAAACCCCTAGAGACTTCCCAAAAAAATTTTTTTCAAAATTTCCAGCTACGTTCCGGACATGTCCCACTTGGAATCTCTGCGTCTCGTCGATCTATCCCACAATCGCCTGATCTCTGTTCGTCCCCGAATGCTACCATTCAATTTAGAAGTCGTTCGACTATCAGCAAATCGATTCACCCATCTTTCGCCATGGCCATTTTTGCATAAGCTACAGGTAAGTGCGCTCCATTGAGAATTTGTTGTTTTTTGGCGCGAAATTCAAAATTTTCAAAATTTCCTAAATCCTCGGTCATCCTATATGTCTCGTGGGAAACCGGAAGTAGTGCTATACTAAAGGAAAATCGGATCAGATTTCAAAATTTTTTAGAATTTTCTGGAAAAAGTCAAATATTAGGGTTTTTGGGCAGAAAGGGGAAAATTTTTAAAATCCGAAAAAAAACTAATTATTGTAAGGTCGGATTTTTTCGAAATTTTTTCTTTAAATCTAGATAAACTTTAGATTCTCTAATATATCATTTTGATTGGACCATCATTACGCAATGGACCCATGGGATTAATTAAAATTGCGGCTCACATTGAATGCAATTCCAATTTGTGCTCTCTATCTCCCACATTTTGATTCCAAATTAACTGTCACTCTTTCTTCTCTTGGACCCCCCCCCTTCTCTATCCTCTCAGCGGGGGTGTCTAATGGGGAGACAGATGTAGAGGAAACAAACATCCCCTTCAAAACATGTGGTTTTCAAGTCCACACACTTTTCGCACATTTGAAATTGATCCAGTCCGTGAGAGAAACATTAGGAGTGAAATCAGGGACCATTTTCCCCGAAAATCCCCTTTCCAATAGCGATTTGTTGAAAAATTGAGTGCTATCTGGTTTGGTAAAAAAAGCAAAAAAGATTTGGACTTGTTGGGAATCGAACTTGGGTGCTGAGATTGGTAGTCTAGCTCGCTAGCCACTAGGCTATGCGTGCGACGGAGAGCGGCGGCAAGGAGAGTCGGTAGAAAACAGTGTGAAAAAGAAGAGGGGTGGGCGAGGGAGAGAGAGAGAGGTGGTGGCGTCGCGCCCTCCTCGCCTCGCCTAGCGCCCATGGCCGAGTGGCTAGCAACCTGGACTACCAATCTCAAGGTCCTGGTTCGATTCCCATCAAGGCTCAATTTCTTTTGCTTTTCTTACCAGTACTATTGGTGCAAAAATCGTTTTGAAATTCCGGTTGGAAACCTATTTTTGCAGGAACTCGACGTAACATTTAACGACCTGGAATGTGACTGCTCTCTATGGCATTTCGTAACATGGGCTGAAAAATTGGCTCTTTTTGATAGGTATGTTTTCATTTTGTTGCAAGTGCGCCCTATCGAAAATTGTCTTTTTCTAGCACAATGCTTCCATGCCGACGACCCAGTGAGCTGCGCAAGAGCCCCATAGATGGAACGGTAAGTGGCCTAGAATTTTCTAAAAACCTAGGCCACAATTTTCAGACAGTCTGCGGTCCTACAGTAGTCTCGTCGTCAGCGGAGTCTGTTGTCGTTTCGCTGGAAGATTCTCATACAATGTGCTGTACTGCACTAGCCACACCACCGCCACAACTATTTTGGCAGTTGAACGGGAAAAATATTTCGAATGTAGGTCGAAAGCCACTTTCTGTATGAGATATCGAAAAATTGCATAGTTCATAGGCCTATAAAGACAGGCAAAAAATAGTTTAGCGTTAGTAGGAATTGAACTCGGGTGTTGAGATTGGTAGTCGAGCCGCTTAGCCACTAGGTTATGGGCGCCCTCCCCACTATGGTGGGGTTGGAGGGCGCCGCGCGGTGGCCCGCGCATCCTCCCCCTTGCCGCACTCTCTTCTACCGACTTCTCGCGCCGTCGCACTCCGCGGCACACTTAGTGTACTGGCTAGTAGGATTGACTACCAACCTGAACACCCGAGTTCGATTCCACCCAAGGCCAAATCTTTTTTGATTTTTTTACCAAGCCTAGTAACACACATGGAACAATTGTAAATCACTTTTCTTGCAGGGACTCTCTCAAAAACACCTCTCGGACTCTGGAAAAGTCGAATTTTGCTTGGAAATTCGAAAGATTCAACTGAAAGACATGGGCAAGTACCGATGTGTCGCCTCGCTAGCCGGTTTGAACTCATCGAAGGAGTTTCATGTGGAGCGCGACAAAATCCCAATAGTACTGAATTCAGCAGAAGGGATGGTAATCTACTGTCAAATTACAATATGTGCATTCCTCGGCGTCTGTTGTTTTATAAGCTGCTGTGTTTTGCGCTCCGGTGGCCGCGGAAAAACTCGGCCAAATCGAGAATTCCTCCATACGAAAGTTATGGAAATCCCCAGAGATTCGTGTGAATATTGCTGCGATATTGGCAATGTAGAAGTTGGAGATGGAGATGAAGATGATGACGTGGCATCTAGAGAGTGTGACGATTGGGGAGACGCAGAGACAGCGGCGGTTCGACAGTATCTTCAGTGGCGCGCGATGCACCAGGATCAGCATAAGTGTAAGTTCAAAGGGGTGTAGCTCGAAAGCTACTAGAGATAGAAAAGAACTGTGAACTAGAAAAATGTGTAAAATTTTATGCTTGTCATTATTGCAGTTAATAACGTTTTGATAGCTCTACTAGTTCTTGAGATATAAGACAAACGAAATTGGATAGTGAAGACCCTGCGTAGTTACTGTAGTTCAAAAAAAATCTGATTCAAAACACTTTATTGTTCAGCTCTCAAAGCACGAATTTTTCTCCCGAATCGACGTCGGCGACGACGATGTCTAGCCTTCTGCGTTAGATCCAAAACCAGTTGTTCCACGTATTGCCTGGAAAATACGCAAATGCGCTCTATAGCACATTTTTTGAACTTACGCAGTTTTAATATCAAAACGACCTTTTTTCAACGTAATTGGGAAGTCCTGAATAATCGTAGACCGATCCGAGGTGCAGTTATGGTTGACACGAATGTACGGTTCGTAGACTCTCTGAAGAAAACATAGCGTATCTCAGAAACTAGAAGAGCTATCAAAAAGTTGTAAACTGCAAAAATATTTGTCTTAAAATTTTACACATTTTCCTAGTTGAAAATTTCTTTCTAGCTTTTATAGTTCTCGAGATATGAGCGCTCAAAGATTCTGGAGAGACGCAGAGAAGCTAGGCACTCTGGTTTCTCTACCGTACCTCGGGATCCCATCCATCCCCATCGTCCTGCGCTATAACAACGAATTCGTGTGGGAAAACCGTATCATTGAGTCCCCATCCCTGTTCCAAATGATCATCTCCGATTCGAGTGCCAAAAAATCCGTCATTCTCCCATAGCTCAACCCAAGAAGCGTAGACTGAGCCATTTTCGACAGTATTACAGAGCAAGTCTCCGTAAAATAAGAATACGGTTTGAATCGAACCGGATTGTTTCAGGGTCAGAGCCTAAATTTTTTTTTCATTTTGGGGATTATCTGAAAAACTAGTTTCCCGACCTCTAATTGAACATTTTTTGATGCTATGTGTCTTAGAAAATAAGCAAAAAAAGATTCGGTGTTGACAGGAATCGAACCCGGGTGTTGAGAGTAGTAGTCAAGGTACTTAGCCACTATGCCACGGGCGCCCCATCCTTTCGAGGTGGCCGCGAGAATACGCCCGCCGCCTCGCCTTTCCGCACCTTCTTCTACCGACTTCTCGCCTCGCCGCTCTCCACCGCACACTTAGTGTACTGGCTAGTGAGCTTGACCGCCAATCTGAACACCCGAATTCGATTCCTAGCAAGTCGCATTTTCTTTTGCTTTTTTTACCAAGCCTAGTGACACTAAATTTATTCTTATTGAACACTTGAAAACTACTTTTCCGTCAAAACTCCTAATTTCAACCCCGTAAATTATTTTTCTGGAAGTTTTAGTAGTTACCTGAGGATCAACACCATTAAATACGCATGCCAACACCAAAAATGTACCCAAAATTGGAGACATTTTCGGCTTTGAGTTATGAATCTTTAGGGGTTCTCTGGTATTTGTGGTAGTTTTTGTCCCAGATTTCGTGGCTTTTTTCCAGCTCATTTCACTGGAATTTCGAGAAGAAACAACCTAAATAAGGTCGGAATTGTCAGCATTGGACCTGCAATTCGCTTGGGAAATTCGAATTCTTTAAACGGATTTATCTCAAAAACCAGAAGAGCTATCAAAAAGTTGTCGACTGCAAAAGTGTTCGTCTTGAAATTTCACATATTTTTCTAGTTGAAAATTTCTTTCTAGCTTTTCTATTTCTCGAGATATACCGGTTTGAAGCAAGCGCGCTCTTTTGAGAATGAGAGACGCAGAGAAACGAGGCTCAACTGCGCTCCAATGAAACCGTTTTTCAGACTCAATGATCCCCCAAATCCGCCACGAAAGTCTGTGCCGCCTGTCCAACGAGGCGAGCCTGAGCAATCGCGCTCCATTGGCCAAATTCGACGAGCATCAACACTCGGTGTCCTTTGATATGACACATTTGTGATAGTTTTGAAATTTTTTCGATAAAATACAAAATTTTTATATACATGTACAAGAAAAGTTAGACAGAAGAAAAAGGCAAGTAAAGTTAAAGAAAAAAGAAGAAGGAAGGAATTTTTTGAATTGGGCGGGAAGAAGATTGACTAGATTTGAAAAGTAATTGCGCTCTATTGAGAGGCTCTAACGGCACAGTGAAAAAAAGCACAAGTAAAAAGCAAAAGAAATTGTCAATGGAGCGAATTTGCTCATTCAACTTTGATCAAGTTCAACGCCTTCGCCACGTCGGCCTCCTTCTTCTCCTTCTTCCGATTGCGCGTCTCGTATTCTAGACGATGGTTTATGATTCGATCGATAATCAAATCAGTGGTCATGTCGGATCCAGAATCCACCTCATGGTAGATGCCACGCTTCTTGGCTTCGGCGAACGGATCGATGGATGACAAGGGGCAGTTGACAACGGAGGAGTCACGATCACGGAAGCCATTGATGACGGCCTGAAATTTCGAAAAATAATTTTATCTCAAAAACTGAAAGAGCTATCAAAAAGTTGTCTACTACTGCAAAATTGTTTGTCTTGAAATTCGAAAATTTTTCTAGTTGGAAATTTTCCTCTAGCTTTTCTAGTCTTTTCGCGCTCCAAAGACAAAATCTAGCTTTTTTTATTTTCTAATCTGACGTCAAGAGTCAGAACCTTCTCAAAAATAAAATTCAGAATCTCTTTTAGGCGGCTCAGACGTCCAAGGAAGTTTAACCTTCATGCGGATCAGTAGAAATTGCGTGTGGGAATCTCTCAATCATCGCCTCGCCTATGCGCCCCGACTTATAGCAGCGTCGGGAGGCTTGAGGCAGCGAACTGTCGGCGGCGACCTATAGAAATGTAGCGGCCGACATCTCGCGACTTCCGCGCGTCACTATGTTTTGTGTGCGATTCTCCGCGCCACACACACTCTCTCGCGATTAGAGAAAAGTGGCGGAGGGAAGCGTGGTGCGTTCTGGCCTAAATTTTGGATTTTTATTGGGAAAAGGGGGTTTTTGAGTGGTGACAAGGTGAAAATTGGATTTTTGGGATCAGAAAAATCATTCCGAACGGCTAAAATAACCAAAAAAGGCGAAAATTCTGATTTTTTTTTCCAAATGTTTGAGAAAATTCAAATTTCGCGCCGAATCTCAGAAACTCAAAATTCAAAAGTTTCGAGTTTTTACCTTCACATTAAACTGATCCAAAATGTCCGAGGTGATCTCATAAGGGGCGCCGAACACAACCTCGTTGACTGGCTGAAAATAGAAAGACTACATAGACTACAAAGACTACAAACTACAAAAAACCTTATAAGCCAAAACCGACAGCACTCGTTCGTGTATCGACATGATCGGGTGATTGCTTCCTTTGTACTGGTTGACGGTCTGAAATTGTTTTTTTGAAATTTTTGAAAATTTTTTTTTTAGTAATCTGAACACCCGGGTTCGGATCCGCTCGGTGGCATGAAAATTTTTTTTGCAAAAAATTTTTTTTTTTTTTTTCGAATTTTTTAGTAATCTGAAGGCCCGGGTTCGATTCCCCCCGGTGGCACAAATTTTTTTAAAAAAATATGTTTTTTGAAATTTTCCCACCTGATCCGACAAAATGCCCACGATCAAATAATCTCCAAACTCCTTGGCCTTCTCCAAAAAGGCCAAATGTCCAATATGGAACAAATCAAAGGATCCAGTGACGTAGACCACCTTGTCCGTCGGCTTCGGTGGTCGGCCTTCAGCGAATTCCAGAATTGTCGTCGTCGTTGGAATGAATCTGGAGACGCGGGTCCATGGAGACATCGCCACGTTGTCCTGGAAACAATTTCGGGGGTTTTTCGGCGATTTTTGGCTGCGAAATTCGAATTTGTTCAGTGGAGCGCGGTTGCTAATTTTTTTTGTTGAAAATTTTGAAAATTCGCGTTTTTTCGAATTTTTTCGAATGTTGGAATGCGGACATTTTTCAATATTCCTGAAGAAAAATTCAAAAAATTGAGTTTTTTTTTGAAAATTTTTGAAAAAAAAATTTTTGAAAAATTGCTGAAAATCGCTGAAATTAGCTGTTTTACATCTCGATATGTGTGTTTTAACTTGTTCGAAACTTCGAAAAACAAACAAATTCAAAAAAAAACGCAAAAAAATGGGAAAATTCAAATTTTCCCAAAATAAAGTGAGCAATCGCGCTCCACTGAACAAAACATTTTCCTGTCGAAAAACAGCCTAAATACCCTATGAAATGACAAATTCACGCCTATAAAAATGCTGAAAACTCGAAAAATTTCAGTGTTTTTTTTTTCAAAAATTCTGAAAATTTTCCAAAAAAAAATTATTTTTTCAAATGCTGAAAATTCGAGAAATTTTAAAAATTTCAGTTTTTGCAAAAAATTCTAAAATTTTTCCAAAAATTTTTTTCGAAAATTGCTGAAAATTCCAGATTTTTGCAAAAATTCAAAAATTCTCAAAAAAAATTTTTTTGAAAAATTTCGGGTTTTTTTTTGCAAAAATTCAAAAATTTTCCAAAAGAAATTAAATTTTCAAATGCTTTTCGAAAAGTTCGAGAAATTATAGTTTTTTTTCCAAAAATTCTGAAAATTAGAAAAATTTCAATTTTTAACAATTTCTGAAAATTTTTCAGTTTTTTTGCAAAAAATCTAAAATTTTCAAAAAAAAATTTCGAAAATTGCTGAAAATCGCTGAAATTATTGTTGGAATAAAAAAAGTGAGACTCGGTGTTTGCGTACTTTGATTCCCGCCTCCCCCCACCGACGCTCCGCCCATCGCTTTGCAAGTGCGG